GCAGCTGGTGCCTGCCTGGGGCTCAGCCAGCCTCTGTCACAGCCTGGCCTTGCATGTCTGGCTCAGTGGCCGAGTCAGAAAGCCCTCAGGCCCAGGCCTCCCAGCCTGGGCCACCCATGTGGAGGGCAAGGCCCAGAGGTGGGACTTGCACAGCAGGTTCGTCCTTTGTATTCAATGGCAGGTTTATTTGGTATGGCTGGGGCAAGGCCTAAAACAGATTACAGCTGGCTAACCCACTCTGTTGATTCTGCATTCTTCTCCAACATTGCAAAGAGCCTGGGCTGGGAATATGGCTAAGTGGTAGAGTGCTTGCCTAGCATGCACAAAGCCGGGATTCGCTTCCTCAGTACCACATAAACAAAAAACAAAGAGTTCTTGTCTCCATTTACCCAGTGTAACCTCATTGGCCCAAACAGCCTCTACATGGTAGGTTCTAGTCCAAGACCCAGAGAGGTCAAGCCGCATATCCATCGTCATGCAGACAGGAGCCTGTCTGATTCCAGCAAAGGAGTGCTGACCAATTAGCCCCATTGCCTCTCCCGTGATGCTCACGTGTGTCCAATGGCATGTATCACTTTGGAGCTCTAGTCTCTTAAAGGGAAACCCACATCCTGTTTCTGCTTCTGCTGTAAAGATATGAATTTGTGATAAGGGCCATCCAGAGTTGATCTGTCCTGTGAGGCCCCACTTTCCTCTTTCCTTCCTCTTTCCTCCACCCCTTCACAAAGCTCCCCCTCAGCCCCCCAGCCTGCACATAGCCATGACACCCACCAAGCCTCCTGTCTTGATGCCTGACTTTCCTTTGCTGTTGAATGGGAGGAAGGAGGAAGCTTACCTAAGGGCTTCTGTGGGGTCTGCGGTGCTGACACACGTCCTGTGCCTGGCCAGGCCTGGTGGGAATCTGGGTCGAGGGTCCAGGATGTGGCTGTGACTTCTGGCTCTGTTGCAGACTGAGGCTTGCCTTGGCCCTCTCCGAGCCTCAGTTTCCCCATCTCTGAGATGGAGACGGAGACCTTGCTGGACCTCTCATTTGCGGGTCTAGATATGAGAGCCTCATCATGTCAACTTTGCTGATCCTCTTCTGTTGAAAAAGCCCATCGAAGCTGGGACTCATGCTTGTAATCCCAGGTACTGCAGATGAAGTAGGAGTTCAAGTCTAGCCCAGACAAAAGAGCAAGATGCTATCTGAAAAACAAACTAAAAGCAAAAGGATCAGGCAGTATGGCTCAAGTCATAGTTACAGCTCCTTCTTGGCAAATGTGAAGGCCTGAGTGAACTCCAGCCCTGAAAAAAAAAAAGAAAAAAGAAAAAGAAAAAAACCAAGATAACTCTGTCCCTAAGGGAGCTACAAGAATCCTAGAAGGCTGGGTGCCGGTGGCTCAAGCCTGTAATCCTAGCTACTCAGGAGGCTGAGATCTGAGGATCGCAGTTCAAAGCCAGCCTAGGCAGGAAAGTCCGTGAGACTATTATTTTTTCTTTTTTTTGTCAGTCGTGGGGCTTGAACTCTGGGCCTGGGTGCTTTCCCTGCGCTCTTTAGCTCAAGGCAAGCGCTCTACCGCTTGATCCACGGTACCACTTCCGGTTTTCTAGTGGTGTATTGGAGATAAGAGTCTCACAGAGTTTCCTGCCGGAGCTGGCTTTGAACCATGATCCTCAGATCTCAGTCTCCTCGGCAGCTAGGATTACAGGCGTAAGCCACTGATGCCTGGCTCCATGAGACTTTTTGTTTGTTTGTTTGTTTTTTGTTTTTTTGGGTCCAGTCGTGGGGCCTGAACTCTGGGCCTGGGCACTGTCCCTCATCTCTTCAGCTCAAGGCTAGCGCTCTACCACTTGAGCCACAGCGCCACTTCCGGCTTTTTTTCTTTTTGCTTATGTGGTGCTGAGGAATTGAACCCAGGGCCTCATGCATGCAAGGCAAGCGCTCTACCACTGAGCCACCTTCCCCGCTCCATGAGACTCTTATCTCCAAAAAACTACCAGGAAACTGGAAGTGGTGCTGTGGCTCCAATGGTAGAATGCTTGCCCAGAGTTCAAGCTCCATGACTCACATACACACACACACACACACACACACACACACACACAAATCCTGGAGGACTCCTAGGGCCCCTGACTCCTGACTTTTAATTTTTTTTCTTTTTTGCCAATCCTGGGGTTTGAACTCAGGACCTAGGCACTGTCCCTGAGCTGCTGCTGCTTCTTTTTTTTTTTTTTTGGTTGGTTGTGGGCCTTGAACTCTGGGCCTGAGTGCTGTCCCTCAGCTCCTCAGTTCAAGGCTGGCACTCTACCACTTGAGCTACAGTGCCTCTTCCGGTTTTCTGATGGTTTATTGGAGATAAGAGTTTTGCGGACTTTCCTACCCGGGCTGGCTTTGAACCATGATCCTCAGATCTTAGCCTCCTCAGTACCTAGGATTACAGCGTGAGCCACTGGCTTCTGAGCTTGTTTTTGCTCAAGGCTAGCACTCTGCCACTTGAGCCACAGCACCACTTCTGGCTTTTTCTGTGTATTTAGTACTGAGGAATTGAGCTCAGGGCTTCAGGCATGCTAGGCAAGCACTCTACCACTAAGCCACATTCCCAGCCCAAGTTTTTTTTATATAATGGGAATTGAATGCAGAGTCTTATGAATGCCAGGGGAGTACTCTACCACTGAGCTATATCCTTATCCCTTATTTTCTTTTTGACCCTGAGCTCAAAATCCTTCTACCTCTGCCTCATGAGTAGCTAGAATTACAGATGCGCATGCTCTGCCTGGCATATTAAAAACTATGGTCCCTGAATTGTCTTCTGAGACTTTTTAAGTGTTGAATCTTCATTTTAATAATCCAGTAAAGGCTGGGTGCTGGTGGCTCATGCCTATAATCCTAGCTACACAGAAGGCTGAGATCTGAGTATTGAGATTCGAAGCTAGCGCAGGCAAAAAGAGTTTTTATCTCCAATTAACCACCAAAAGGTTGTAAGCTGTGGCTCAAGTAGTATAGCACCAGCCTTGAGCAAAAAGAAGGTAAAGGACTAGGGACTAGGCCCTGAGTTTAAATCCAAGTATCAGCACACACTGACACACATGCATACACAAATCCAGTAAAGTTATTAGCCTCCATTCTGGACCAAGTATAGGCCAACACCTAGAGTCTGACTTTTGCCACTGTTTCTGCCTAAATCTTAGCCAAACAAGACTATATCAAAACCCCAGACCAATGAGAACACTGAAGCAAGAGGTCAACTGTGTTAGTTATTTATTTCAGCATCATGCATCACTCCCCAAATTTTTATAAGTTTAAAACAAGCAAATGGTCTTCCCTGCTGTGGGTAGGAAACCAGGGGCTGCTGAGCCATCCTTTGACTCAGGTCTCTTACAAAATCACAATGGGGGAATCCATAGGGGCCAGTTTCCTGTCAGGGTCACAGCCTAGTGGATGGCAGGACTTTGTTTCTTTGGCTGTGGGCCAAAACCCCTCTGGTTTCTTTGCCATGTGGGCCTCTCCTCCATAGGACAGCACTTGTAACATGGCAGCTGGCTTGATCAGAACCGCAAGCAAGACAGGAAGTCTAATCACCTAGGCTCAGAAATGCCATCCCATCCTTAATTTTTTTTTCCTTTTTTTTTTTTTTTTGTGGGGCTTGAATTCTGGGCCTGGGAGCTGTCCCTCAGCTCTTCAGCTCAAGGTTAGTGCTCTGCCACTTGAGCCACAGCACCACTTTTGGTTTTCTGGTGGCTTAGTGGAGATAAGAGTCTCACAGACAAGCCGGGCGCTGGTGGCTCACGCCTGTAATCCTAGCTACTCAGGAGGCTGAGATCTGAGGATTGCAGTTCAAAGCCAGCCCGGGCAGGAGAGACCGTGAGACTCCTATCTCCAATAAACCACCAGAAAACCGGAAGTGGCGCTATAGCTTAAGTGATAGAGTGCTCGCCTTGAGCTGAAGAGCTGAGGGACAGCGCCCAGGCCCAGAGTTCAAGCCCCACGACCGACAAAAAAAAAAAAAGAGTCTCACAGACTCTCCTGGTTGGGCTGGCTTTAAACCTTGATCCTCAGATCTCAGCCTCCTGAGGGTTACAGGTGTGAGCCACCGGTGCCCGGCTTCATTTTTTTTTTTTTCTAAATAAGCTCTTTTTGTTTATTGTATTTTTTTTTGGTTGGGGGAATCTGGGGACTGAACATGGAACCTCACACAGGCTTGTCGCACCCCAAACCCATACCTTGAATTTTGAGTCAGGTGTGTGTTGGTACTGGGATATTGAACTCTGGGCCTTGTACTTTCACTTAGCTTTTGTTCCCCCTTAAGGTTGGCAGTTTACCACTGGAGCCACAACTCCACGTCCAGCTTTTTGCTGGTTAGTTGGAGATAAACGTCTCACAAACTTTCTTGCCTTAGATCTCAGCTTACTGAGTAGCTAGGATTACAAGTGTGAGCTACCAGCACCTGGCTAAGAAGACATACTTTGAAAGTTCTTACACCTGTTTCCAAATCCTGCCCTGCGTGGGCACCCCCCCTCCCCCCCCCCGCATACACACCAAGAGCTACAGTTTGCCTCCAGTGGGCCTAGCCTCCCTTGCCAGTCCATGACCAGTGCCAGCCACCTGCAAGAGCTTTTTTTTTTTTTTTTGCCAGTCCTGGGGCTTGAATTCAGGGCTTGGGCACTGTCTCTGAGCTTCTTTTGCTCAAGGCTAGCACTCTATGCCTGGAGCACCACTTCTGGCTTTTTCTATTTATGTGGTACTGAGGAATTGAACCCAGGGCTTCATGCATGCTATGCAAGCACTTTATCACTAAGCCACATTCCCAGCCCTGAAAGAGCCATTTTAACAGCAACATGTCAGAGTGAGCATGTGAAAGACAGAATGGCCGGCAGGGTGGGAGCCAGACTTAGGAAGGTCTGGTTGGGCCCCAGGACACAGTGTCTGCCCCCCCCCTCCAGTTCCTTCCTCTTCTGCCTGCTCTGCTGTCCTCAGCACATCCTCTCAAAGGCAGCAGACCTGCATCCTGGTAGACCCCAGTTCTTCCAGCCATGATCTCCCACTCACAGTGACCTCTCCTCTTCCAGTGCACCTGATGGCTTTGTACAAAGCGCTGATGTCATCTGAACATGTTTCTAAAAAAAAAAAAAAAAAAAGGATAAGAACAATACTGATCCTTGGGTTTGTTGCTTTTCCTTTTCAGTAAACAGACATGTATTTATTTCCTTAGTTCCTTGTTTATCCATTCAGCAAATATCTACCATCTTAGCATCTTGGTCCTCATGACCTAGTGGGGGATACAGGATCCAACCAGGTAAGCACACACACACACACACACACACACACACACACACACATCTGTATGTACTTACAGACAACTAGCTATACATAAAAATCAAGGGCAAGTGTATAAGGTCCTGATTTAGTTGCAGGGTGAGTAACCACAAGGCCATCGAGCAGTGGCTAGAAGGGAGCTAATCAGGTGGAGAGAAGGGTGATTGCGTTCCTGGTAGGTGGAATGGCTTGTGTAAAGGTCCTGAGACAGGAGAGGCCAATACATTCATTTCAGGTGTTTACTGAAAGGTGATTACAGAAAGTGATGAGAAGAGAGGTCTAAGAGGAGACCCAAGAGGAAAGCGGGGCCACACCAGGCAGGGCCTTATGTCACCCAGTGGGAACAGTTAACCATAAACCAAAAGCAGGGGAGAGCATTGACAGGATGGGGAAAAGATTAAATAAGAGGCTGGGGATGTGGCTTAGTGGTAAAGTGCTCACCTCTATGTTTCTGGGAAATGGGGCGGTATGGGGGTGGGGTGGGTAGGGCAGGGGAAATCCAGACAGCATCTGTAACTTATCTCCAAGGTTACCTAGGGAGGTGGTGCTGAGATTTGGACTCAGGGCTCTGACTCCAAGTCCGTAGCTCTTTTACTTTCCCTTCCAATGTTAAAGTCCAACTTTATCATCTCTCTGCCCCACTCAAAGCTCTAATGGCTGGCTCCCCACTACTTCTAGAATGCCCACGCCTGACATTTCAGGGCCCTGTATACCTAGCTCCCCTTCTCCTCGCGTGTGAACAGATCACACAAGAGCCCTCACCCCACACTTATTCATGGGGTTCCTCTATCAGGATGTCTGCAGCAGAACCCTCTGGTTAGTTTCAAGTTATTACAACAGAATGCCTAAAGCAACTAAATTTAAAAAAAAAGAAATGATTTATTTAGTTCACAGTTTTGGAGGTCAGAGATTAAGCTACTATTGGTTTGGGCCTCTAGTGAGGGCCCTGGGTGGCAATGGTGGAGGCATGTGTCAGCCAGGAAGCAGAGAAAGAGAGGAAGAGAGGGAAAGGAGAGAGAGAAAGGGGAAGGGGGTCTGAGAAAGAGAACTGACAAAGTCCTGGAGTCCCATAACCCCTTTTGAGGGCTGTCCCCAACAACCTAACGACTGCCCATAAGGCCCCACCTTGGGGCATGGTACCTTGGAACACTTGCATTGGGGGGGACACTTAGTGTTCAACCAGAGCACACTCCATTTCCTCCCCAGTTATTCCTACAGTCTGTGATACCTGTCCGTTTCTGAGGGTGATCGTAAGACAAAACAAAACAGACAAAATTTTTTAACATGATTATAACATGACAATTTAATTTTTTGCCAGTCCTGGGGCTTGAACTCAGGGCCTGGGCACTGTCCCTGAGCTTCTTTTTTGTTCAAGGCTAGCACTCTACCACTTGAGCCACAGCACCACTTCTAGCCTCTTCTGTTTATATGGGACTGAGTAAGTGAACCCAGGGCTTCATGCATGGTAGGCAAGTACTCTACCACTAACCACATTCCCAGCCCACTACCACAAAATGTATAGCTTAAAACAACCCATCCCTCTTACAGTTTGGAGGCTAGAAGTCCACGTTGGTTCTCACTGGGCTAAAAATCAAAATGGCTGCAGGGCAGACAGAGCTTCTGGAAGCTCAAGGGAAAAATCCTTTCCTTGTCTCTTCTATCTTGCAGGAGTGGGGAATGTCCAACACACAAGCCAAACAAAGTCTGCAAAATTGTTTGGTACATAACAAGATAGACATGTATGTTTCTGTATACGTTGTGTTGCTTCTTGCAGCCTATCTGCCTATATTAATAATCTTGCATGGCACATGAATGGTATTATAAAAATCCAAATGGCCCTTGGCAGAAAAGTTTCCCTACCCTTGCCACATTCCTTGGTTCATAGTCCTTTCCTCCATCTTCACTCAGGGTGGAACTGTCATGCTGCTGTCTCTGTTCTTTCTTCTGTCTTTCTTGTCCACATTGAAGGATCTTTGTGATCATATTGAGAGCACAGGGAAAATTTAGGATGATCTTACTTTAAGTTCCACCAGGAACCTTAGGCTAGAATGTAAATTCAGTGTTCCCTGAAGATGTACAGACAAAAGCCTGGTCTCCAGGGTGTTGCTATGGGGAGATGGTGGGACCATTGGGAAGTGGGGCCTCCTGGGAGGCTCTTAGGTCATTGGGGATTTGGGGATTGCTCTTGAGGAGATTGCGGGACTCTACCTGTGCTTTCTCTCTTTCAGTATGAGATATGATTGTTTTGTCCCCATGGCTCTCCTGCCAAGATGTGTTGCCATCTGTCACCTTCACCGGCATCATGGCTGATATGGGTACCATGCATTTGAACCTCCACAGTGGAACTAAATAACCCTTCTCTCTTATGCTAGCTGCCAAAGGTATTTTGTAGCAGTAACAGGAAGCTGACTAATACATCAAGTACCTTAGCATAAGCACACAGGAACACAGGATTAGGGTGTGGCCATCTCTGGGAGGAATCCATCGTTCTACAGGCTGGTCCTCCCTCAGCTTCTTCCCTAGGCGGATTATCCAGTAGGCAACAGGAAGGAAATATGAGGGATCCACACTTCTGGAGAAGAAACAAAAACTCCTCACCTCACATCTTTGGGACTTATGCCTGAGTTTAGAAAGGTGTTCACCTGTGCAGGCTACTATTATCTGTTCCATTCCACATCTGGGAAAAAGTGTGGGCAAGAAGGCCAGGTGTGAGCTAGGCGCTGGTGGCTCAAACCTGAACTCCTAGCTACTCAGAAAGCTGAGATCTGAGGATCATGGTTCAGAGCCAGCCTGAGCAGAAAAGTCCATGAGACTCTTATCTCCAATTAACCACCAGAAAACTGAACGTGGTGCTGTGGCTCAAGCGGTAGAGTGCTCACTTTGAGCTGAAGAGCTCAGGGATAGTGCCCAGGCTCCAGAGTTCAAGCCCCATGATTGACAAAAAAGAAGAAGAGGCCACATGTGGTTAAGTGAGCTGCTGTCATTGGGTGAGGGCAGATTGTGGCTAGGCTCACCCCCCAGGCCCGACACTAGCTCTTCTTCCCCTTTGTTTCCAACACTGAAACAGCTGCACTTCCCTCCTGCTCAGGAGACTGCTTTTCCAAAGCTGCTCCAAGGGAATCTTGTGCCCAGCTTGCCCTTTAGTTCTGGCTTCCTGCCAAAAGTCATGGGGTCATATTTGAAAGACTTCCTTCAGCCCTACCAGTCACCATTCCTCACCCACAAACGGAAACTGTTTCCTCTATGCTGCCAAAGGGGCTGTGCTGAGCAGGTGCAGGTTTCCAGGTGGGATACCTGTCATTGTGATTCCCATCCTGCCCATCCATCCGTGCCACAGGAAGGAACTAGACTGTGTAGAAATGCACACCCAAGGTGTGCCCTAAAACTGTGTGCCACAGAACCCTTCAAAGATGTCCAGCAACAAGGCCTTAATTAAAGCAAAGAAGGCATCTAATGCTGTAATCACTATTTTGACATTAAAAATGGCAATATAGCCATGTGATGGTGGCTCACACTTGTAATCCTAGCTACTCAGTTGGCTGAAACCTGAGAATCATTATTCGAAGCCAGTCTGGGTAAGAAAGTCCATGAGACTCTTATTTCCAATTAACCATCAAAGGGGCTGGGAAGGAGGCTCAGTGGTAGAGCACTTGCCTTGCATGCCTGAGGCCCTGGGTTCGATTCCTCAGCACCACATAAGTAAAAAAGAAAAAAGCCGGAAGTGGCGCTGTGGCTCAAGTGGTAGAGTGCTAGCCTTGAGCTGAAGAGCTGAGAGACAGTGCCCAGGCCCAGAGGTCAGGCTCACGACCGGACCCAAAAAAAAAAACAAAAAAAAAAAAACACAACAATTAACCATCAAAAAGCTGGAAGTGGTTTGCCGGGCGCCAGTGGCTCACGCCTATAATCCTAGCTACTCAGGAGGCTGAGATCTGAGGATCACGGTTCAAAGACAGCCCGGGCAAGGAAAGTCAGTGAGACTCTTATCTCCAATAAACCACTAGAAAACTGGAAGTGACGCTATGGCTCAAGCGGTAGAACCCTCGCCTTGAGCTGAAGAGCTGAGGGGTAGCACCCAAGCCCAGAGTTCAAGCTCCACTATCAACAACAACAACAACAACAAAAGCTGGAAGTGGAACTGTGGCTCCAGTGGTACAGTACTAGCCTTGAATGAGAGAGCTCAGGGCTAGGAACCTGAGTTGAAGTCCCAGGAATGGCACACATACACAAAAGAAATGGTAACACAGAGCCAGGAAAGAGGGCTCATGACTGTAATCCTAATGACTCAAGAGGCTGAGATCTGAGGATCATGATAGGAAACAGGACTGATAGATAAATTGGAGACTCTAATCTCCAACTAACAGCAAAAAGCCATAAGAGGTAGTGTGGCTCAAGTGCCAGCCTTAAGTGAAAAAGCTAATGGACAGTGCCCAGGCTCTTAGTTCAAGCCTCAATACTGGGCTATACACACAAAATATCAGATTCCAATATTAAGTGCAGTATGTACATCTTGATTTCCTCTCTGGAAAGAAAAGGGTGTGTGTGTGTTTCTGGATGAGGATCAGAGGTGTAAGCTTTCTTTTTTCAACTTTCCCGCATGTGTGTAATGCTTTAAAAAAAAAAGTCTTGGGTCGGGAAGGTGGCTCAGTGGTAGAGCGCTTGTCTTGCATGCCTGAGGCCCTGGGTTCGATTCCTCAGCACTACATAAGCAGAAAAAGCAGGAAGTGGCGCTGTGGCTCAAGTGGTAGAGCACTAGCCTTGAGCTGAAGAACTGAGGGGCAGCGCTCAGGCCCAGAGTTCAGGCCCTACAGTTGAAAAGAAAAAAAAAAAGTCTGCATTTGTATTTATAGTATGTAAAGCAATTTCCATTTTGCAAGAGGAAATCAAAACAAGGGCTCCAAGCAGAGCCTGGGCCCTGCTGATCTTACAGAAGCTCCCCACCGGTGGCCAGTCCCCTCCAGCCGGAGACGGAGGTGACACAGACTCAAGGGCTTCCTGTGCTGGCTGGCTGAGCTCTTCCCAGGAACTCAGCTGTCCCTCGGGCAGTGACGGGAGCAGCCATGCAGACGCTTCCCGGAAGGAAGGCCCAGGGTCAGCCCGACTACATCAGTAAATCAGCCGCTGTTCTCACTGTGCTGCTGGCCACAGGGGCTAGAGCCTTTCCTCTCAGAGGCAGGGCTAGTGTGGTGGGGAGATGCATGCACAAGGCTTGCATGAAGAAGATGAGGGAATTTGTTACAGGAAGAAAGGGTCTGCTGGTAAAGGGCAGCGCAGTTCTCCAGGGAATGAAAGAAAGACCTGGAAGACTTGCTAGGCTCCCCTCCCCCCTGCCTTTTTTTTTTTTTTGACAGTTGTAGGGCTTGAACTCAAGGCCTGGGCACTGTCTCTGAGCTTCTTTTGCTCAAGGCTAGCACTCTACTACTTAAGCCACAGTGTCACTTCCGGCTTTTTCTGTTTATATGGTACTGAGGAACTGAACCCAGGGCTTCATGCATGCTAGGCAAGCACTCTTCTACTAAGCCACATTTCCTTTATTCTTAGTGCCCCAAATAATGTTTCATTCTCTACTTCCTGGGCATGTAGCTCCCCTCTGCTGGCTAGTTCATGAGCCAAAAAAGATTTGCCCTAAGCCAATTCTCAGGGTAGAATCTGATTGGTCCATCTTGAGCTATGTGGAACTCAGTCAGCCAATAGGATAAGGTCATGTATGCAGAGATACCTTTTAAGAAAGGCACAGAAAACTGAGAGAGGACAAGGGAAGGGATGACCTTGTCCAAAAAGAAATGTATTCTTTACCTGACTTAACTGTAACCCCTTAGTACATCACCTTTATAATGACAATTTTAAAAATTAGACTAAAAAAAGGAAGGGCTCAGAGAACGGCTTCCCCAAAGTTCTATACTATCCTCCACTGACAGAAAAGTTCTGGTTGGATGACGAAGCTTCTAGACAAACACAGTGGGACCCTATGTGGCAACTATCCTGAGGAGTTCAAGCTGCCTCTCTCTCCATGGTGTGATTCTCACTGGTGTCTGTCCCTGGTTAATCTTACTGTTCAGATACTAGCCTCAGGAACAGCAAAACTCACTCTAACAGTCCTCTTATTGTATGGAGAGAAGGCTCTTGTCAACTGGAACATAGGCAGAAAGGAATAACGAAGTGAGCAGAGGAACAGCCATACCTTCTGAGGGGCTTGTCACTGTCATCTAAGCTAGCACCCCCAGGCTGCAACACTGACCTTACAACAACTACAGCAGAAAGACAACTTGCAACTCATTAAGTAATTCCACTCTGGAGGCTGCTTGGGTAGATAACCCTCCCCCTTCACCTTCTGGACTTATTTCAATGGAACCTCATAGACCCTCAACTAGCTCCTAACATAAGTGCTAGTACCTTCTACAGACCAGATTCCAAAGCTAATGTAATTCTAACAACCCTAAAAACCAGGTAATATTAAAACTCCCATCTAGGCACCAGTATCTATAATCTTAGCTACTCAAAAGGCTGAGATTTAAAGATCCTAATTTGAAACCAACTCAGGTGAGAAAGTCTGAGAGACTCTTATCTCCAATTAATCAGCAAAAAGCTGGGCGTGGGACTCTGGCTCAAGTGATAGAATATCAGACTTGAGCAAAAAAGCTAAGGGACAGCGCCCAGGCCCTGAGCTTGAGTGCTGGCACCAAAAATAAACAAAAAAACTTCCATTTCACAGATGGAGAAACTAACACTGTCCCTAGGCAGGTGCTTGTCACTATTTCAGACAGCGAATACAGATCAAGATACAGGTGTTACATTCAGGGACCTTTGCCTGGGGCAGACAGACAGGAGTAGCAATGGCCCCCAGGGTTGTCACTGTTTTAAGAGCAGTTCTCTAAAAGTATCTAGAAAGGACCCACCCGCCCTCCCCAAGGGTCAGGGAAGACTTCCCAGAAGAAATGACACTTGACTCCAAGGCCTAAAGAGTGACAAGGAGGAGCTGTACATTTGTAGATCATACCTGTAATCCCAGCTGCTGTGAAGGCTGAGATCAGAAGCTCCCCCACCGTTGGAAGCCAGCTTTGGGTGTACAAATCCAAGAGACTCTTACCTCCCATTCACTAGCAAAAGGCTCAGCTTGTAGGGTACCAGCCTTGTGTGAAAAAGAGCAAGAGGCCCCGAGTTCAAGCCCCAATATTGGAACAAAAGATTTTTTTTTTTGAAGTGACAAGGAGAGACCAGGCAAAGCATAAAAACATGCAGGTGAGAGGGGACAGCATGTACAATGCTCCCCAGATGAGGTACGCACTTTGCCAAAGGTCGCCTGGCTGCTGGGATGGGAAGGGACATGATGAACACTTTGCCCAGGTCTCCCGATAGCTGGCTGCTGCCTGAGACTGGCCCTGCCCACCCACCCCCACCCTGCAGTCACTGTGAGTCTGCATCAGGACAAATCTTTGGATGCGCCCAGGAGACATTTGTTCCCAAGTGTCCACAAGCGCCCCACTTGCAGCAGTCATGATGAGTCAGGAGAAAAGGCTGCTGGCTTTTTCCTGACGTTGGGAGGGAATTCATCCAGCTGGCCAGTCACCCCTGCACAGAGATGCTAATCAGAGGCCTCCAGGCTCTGGCCTCTCTCCCAGGTCTCATTTGGGACATTCCTACTTTCTCCAAGTGAGCTCAAAGGCAAACACTAGGATTTTGACAAGTGCTTTAGTTTCAGCCACCTGCTGGAGCCTCTTGACATGAAAAGGTCAACTTCCGGTTCCTGATGGCACAGCAGGACCTATTACCAAGACAGTCTGGGCCACGGATTGGTTGCTACACTGGCCAAAACAACAGCTGGGCTCCTATTAACCTGGTGAGCTAAACCAGCAGCTACCTTAGAGAGGGAAAGGGACCTTTCCTGCCCTCTGGCAGATCTGGTTTGGTCTCCTGTTCTGGCTCTTTGACAAAGAACTTCTACTTCTGGAAACTACCCTTCAGGTCACCCCAGCCTTGGAGTGTGTATGTGGGGGAGGGGAGCAGGGCAGGGCAGGTCCAAGGGGGCAGGTTCCAAGAGTGCTCACTGCTGCATAACTTGCAATAGTAAAACAAAAACTATAAACATCCCAACAGATCCTGGTAAAACTGGCTGAATCCAGTGTGGATGTTCTCACCCAAGAGGGGCTGAGCTGGCCTGAAGAGAATGTTCTAGACAGGAGCAGCCTCTAAGAGTCGTTGACTGTTTATTTTGTACAACACAATGAAATATAAAATAACCGAAACTAATTACATTGCTATATATTAACAATAAGCAAGCTAAAAAGGATTATGTCCATACTACCCAAAGCAAGCTACAGACTCTAACAAATGCACTCTCTAGCAAAATCTCAATGATTTTTTTTCAAATATAGAAAATCCATCTCAGGGGATCCCAACTAACAATAACAACAAAATCTTGAAAAAGAACAAAGTTATTGGACTCACAGGTTGTGGTTTCAAAACTCTCTACAAAGCTTTAGTAATTAAAACGGTATGGCCACTGGCCTGAAGACAAGAGTTCTAGACCAGTGGAAGAGAATAAAGAGTCTAGAAATAAACCTTTACAAAAGTGTCCAAATGATTTTTCAACATGGTTGCCAAGATCATTTGATGAGGGAAAAACACTCTTTCAACAAATGGTGCTACAAAGGAATGGTGTTAGATCCTTAGCTAACACTATACACAAAATAATCTTACAGGATCAAAGATCCTGTAAGATTCAAAGCTATAAAAAAAAAAGTCTTAGAAGACATCATATGAAAAAGTTTCACAGCATTCGTTTTGGCAATGATTTCTTAAGATATTACACCAAAGCCAACAACAACAAAATAGACAAACTAGACTTCAGGAACATTGAACAATTTTGTGCATCAAAGCCAGAAGTGACACTATCCTTAGAAAAAGAACCTCAGGGACAGTGCCTAGGCTCACACCTGTAATCTTAGCAACCCAGAGGCTGAGATCTGAGGATCCCAGCTCAAAGCCTTCACAAGTAGAAAAATCTGTGAGACTCTTATCTTCAATTAATCTTTCAAAACCAGGAAGTAGAGCTGTTGCTCAAGTGGTAAAATACCCCAGTCTTGAGCGGAAAAAGCTAAGGGACACCCTTGTTATAAATATGCTCTCCAGCTGGGCTCCTGTAGCTCACACCTGTAATCCTAGTTACTTAGGAGGCTGAGATCTAAAGATCATGGTTAAAAGCTAGCTGGGGCAGGAAACTCTGTGAGACTCTTATCTCTAATAAACTACTCAAAAAAGCAGGAAGTGGCGCTGTGGCTCAAGTAGTAGAGTGCTCACCTTGAGTAAAAGAAGCTCAGGGACAGTGCTCAGGCCCAGAATTCAAGCCCCAGGACCAGAAAAATAAATAAATAAATATGTTCTCCAAGAACCACTGGATCCATAATAGGCACAAAAATAAAGAATTGTCTCAGCAAGGCAGAATTTACTTCTGCAGAAGGATGCATTATCAGTTAAAAACTGGCAAGCAAGCTCACAGAGCAGGAAGGCTGCCCCACTATCCCTAATACAGCAGGCCCTACCCCTTTGCTCAGATTGGTTGAGCTCAGGTTCATTATCTGCTCATGATTGGCTAGTTTGAATAGTACAAAATGTATTTGCATAATGTGACTTTGAAATAAGATTAACAGTACACAAGTAATCTCAAAATATACCAGAGCACTCTGCTTTTTAAAAAATTTATTATAAAGGTGATGTACAGAGGGGTTACAGTTACATAGGTCACATAGGTCAGGTAATGAGTACATTTTTTGGGGGGGGGGGGGTCAGCCGTGGGGCTTGAACTCTGGGCTTGGGCGTTGTCCCTCAGCTCTTCAGCTCAAGGCAAGCGCTCTACCGCTTGAGCCACAGTGCCACTTCCGGTTTTTGAGTAGTTTATTGGAGATAAGAGTTTCACAGACTTCCCTTGCCTGGACTGGGTTTGAACCATGATTCTCAGATCTCAGCCTCCTGAGTAGCTAGAATTACAGGCATGAGCCACCGGCGCCTGGCTACATTTCTTTTTGAACCGTGTCACCTCTTCCTTCATTTTCTCCCAATTTTTCCATCCCCAACCCTCTCCCCACCAAGTTGCATAGTTCATTTTCAACATAGCTTCTGCTATCTTGAACAACCTGAGGTATATCTTAATTCCATCTTGAAAAGAAGCTAGTTTAAGACAAAATCTTACATTTCAAAAATGCTTCCTTATGGGCTAAGAATGTGTCTCAAGTGATAGAGTGCTAGCCTTGGGCAAAAGAGGCTCAGGGACAGTTCCTAGGCTCTGAGTTCAAACTGCAGGACTGAAAAAAAAAAGAAAAAGAGAAAGAAAAAGATTCCTTATCCAAGAGCCAAGCTACTAGACCAAAGCAGGAACTTTTTTTTTTTTTGTTGGTCATGGGCCTTGAACTGTGGGCCTGAGCGCTATCCTTCAGCTCAAGGCTAGAGCTCTACCACTTGAGCTTCAGCGACACTTCCAGTTTTCTGGTGGTTTATTGGATATAAGAGTCTCACGGACTTTCCTTGCCCAGGCTGGCTTTGAACCGTGATCCTCAGATCTCAGCCTCCTGAGCAGCTAGAATTACAGGTGTGAGGCACCGGTGCCTGGCTCAAAGCAGGAACTTTTAAGCAACGCACCTTGATAGAAAAGACAGCTTTTCTGACAGCCTCCAGGCCCGAGTTCAAGCCCTAGTAACAGCACATACACACACACTCACAAACACACATGCACACTCACATAAAGAAAAAGTAGGCAAAGGATTTGAATTAACATTTGAATAGACAGTTCTCCAAAAACATTTTACAAATGTCCAATAAGTAAACAAAAGGATGCTTACCATCATTAATATTTAGGGAAAACAAAGTATAAAATCACATGATCAGGGTTAGGATGGCTGTTATCAAAAACAAGGATAGGGCAAGGATATGAAAAAAAAATACAATATCCTAGCTACTCAGGAGGCTGAAATCTAAGGATGGAGGTTCAAGACCCACCTGGGCAGGAAAATCTGTGAGACTCTTATTTCCAATTAATCACCAAAAAAAGCTGGAAGTGGAGCTGTGGCTCAAGATATGTAGGGTCGGGGCTGGGAAGGTGGCTCTGTGGTGGAGCGCTTGCCTGAGGCCCTGGGTTCGATTCCTCAGCAAAAAGAAAAAAGCCAGAAGTGGTGCTGTGGCTCAAGTGGTAGAGCGCTAGCCTTGAGCTGAAGAGCTAAGGGACAGCGCCCAGGCCCAGAGTTCAGGCCCCACGACCGGACCCCCCCCCCCAAAATAAATGTGTAGGGTTAAGATTTTTTGTTTTGTTATGTTTTACTTTCCAGTCCTGGGGCTTGAACTTAGTCCAGGGGAACTGCCTATGAGCTTCTTTTTGCTCAAGGCTAGCACTCTACTACCTTGAGACACAGCACCACTTACTGAGGAATCGAACCCAAGGCTTCATGCATGCTAGGCAAGCACTACACCACTAAGCCACCTTCCCAGCCCATAGTGCTAGTTTTAAGCAAAAAACAAAAGAAAACAAGACAAACTCAGAGACCGCACCAGGCCCCAGGAATGGCACCAAAAAATAAAATAAAATAAATCCAAGCGGGGGGGGGGGGGGGGGGGAATTGGAAGGGATGGTAAGGGGAAACAAAGGAGGAGGCAACAATGCTTGATAAGAAATGTACTCATGGGGGGCTGGGAAGGTGGCTCAGTGGTAGAGCACTTGCTTTGCATGCATGAGGCCCTGGGTTCGATTCCTCAGCACCACATAAACAAAAAGAAAAAAAGCCAGAAGTGGCGCTGTGGCTCAAGTGGTAGAGTGCTAGCCTTGAGCTGAAGAGCTGAGGGACAGTGCCCAGGCCCAGAGTTCAGGCCCCACGTCCAGCAAAAAAAAAAAAAAAAAATGTACTCATTACCTTGCTAATGTAATTGCAACCCCTCTGTACAGTATTTTCACAATAAAAATAAATAAATAAATAAATAAATAAATAAATAAATAAATAAAATCTAAGGGCTCTCTGTTTCTGGACCTGGGATGTCAAGAGACGGAAAAACCTCAACAGGATAAATTTCTTTCTGTCTCTGGAGTAGAAAGATAGATTACAAAACACATTGAGATATTACTAGCCAATATTTGT